AAATACAAGAGTATATTTTAACTTGATTAACTTATTAGCGAACATCTACTTCCTTACAACGGACGAAATGTTCTTTGAAGTATTTCTATTATCGCTAGATAGATGTCGCTGTAGGTAGGTGAGCTACCATTTATGTGTTTTTGTACTGGATCCCATTAATAAAATACATTTATATCTCTCAAATAATGTACAATTTATAGGATAATCATATCATATAATACCCTTCTATCTGCGTGTGTGCCATTTGTTCACTGCCCAGCACTTAGCTTAACAAAAACTGATAGTTGTAATACCAAAGCGAAAATAAAACAAAAACGACCGAGTACAAGAGCGGGCCATTTCGCCAGAAAATATACTGAGCGGTAAGAATTAACAGGATAAAGGCTTAAAGTAGCCGAAGCCGCCAGATTTATGTCGCGCCGATCGCAATCGGAACCATTCTGCGTGTAAAGACGTTTTATTTACTCGATTGGCAACCTTCGACAAGAATCTCTGATGTGATATACTTTGTTTTAAAAATGTTGTTTCTATAGGTCATGTTTACGATTTTTTTTACATTAGTTTGCATATGAGTAGTAACCAGTCAAGATTCTCGAGATTTAAATTCAACTCTATGGCGCCTGTGGGAGAGTGGTCCAAAGTGTCAAGTTTGATGTGCTCTTGACTGTACGAAACGAGCGAAAATAAATGAAAAAGTCCAAACGAACGTATACTTGAAAAGAGCCACAATATGACACCTATTTCCCATTCATTGCGACCGTACGGGAACAAATCGACACAGCTTTATCATAGTAAAGGGCCTTTCACACAACCCTTCCGCGGTTATCAGATAACGCAGTGAAAGCGAGACACATTTGTCTGCTACCCACTCGACAGTAGTGTAAAAATTGTCAGCGAATGCGATAGATAGCGATCTGCTATTTGTAAGCGACGAGGGGCTGTGATGACCTATGTTTACTTATGTTACCATGGCAGACGAATGCGTAACACTTCCTTTAAAGTGCGTTGTGCTATACTGGATAATATATAGCTTGAATGAAAAACTTTCTCCTTTTTATTTTGTAAAATATACATGTAAAAAACAAAGTATTTTATAAAACTTTTCCAATTATAACCGTCTTTGAAAAAAGGAGGAGGTTCTCATTGGATTGTATCATTTTATGAATGTTACTCGAGTACTCCCTATTTGTGAACCGATTTCGATGATTCCTTTTTCGGGAAAGAAGGTCCTTAGTAGTGGTCCCATTCAAATTTAAAGAAAATATTCCATATCAAGGGGTGGCATATTAGGGGATGAATCCGGTTCCAATAAATTTCACCCACTTTCCGTTAACCGATTTCAATGAAACTTGGCAAATAAATTAATTATTAGTAATTCCACAAGCGAATAAATTAGTAACTAGTAATTAGTCACATCGTCGCTTAACATCAGGTGAGATTGTGGCCAAGCGTGTGTCTATTATATATTAAAAAAAAAAACTCCAAAAATTTTTGTGGATTAAAAAAAATATTTTCAATGATATTTAAGTATTATATTTACCAAATTGTATACTGCGAATATTTGCGAAGTTCGTAAAAACAATAATAAAAAGTTAGACTCACATATACGTTTCGTTCGTACATACATCAGGTACATACATACATAAAACCGAATTGAACGAACCAACTAAAATGCGATACTCTGCCACTAACACCTATCAATTCGCCCAGCCGAGGCAGCGAGTGATTGCAGTAATTTCTATAAAAAATCCAACAGTAAAGTTCGCCAGACACATCGAATCGAAAAAATGTTTCATCAACAATAATTTTATTATCGTAATAACAAAATTACGGGTTAACTTTATACGCGATTTCCACACTTAATCTCTACTGTTTAGGGAGTTATTCCTTCAGCTTTTGCTTATGTATCGGGGGAGAAATGGAACCTTTTGTTGGCCTATAGCATTATTATTTCTCATTTTGTTTTGTTTATTAATACAATTGGCTCGAGGCGCAATATTGATATTCAAGTTTGATGATGACTCGCCGCGAGTTTTCTCCCCGACCTCGCTGTATTTTTATAGGTTTTATAACAATTGCGTTCGTTTCTTTTGTTTAGGTTCCACTGAATTGAATAATGTTTACTAAATTTTAATATTAACTGAATCTGATGAGGGAGGAATAATAGAGATTCTTCGATCTACAATGAAAAAACAGAATCATAATTTTTTGGTTCACTACTTACTGAATTTCAATGTTGAACTTTAGCAAACGTATTTCAAATACCTATACAGCATAAATTTATATAGATTGTTTTTCGTCTTTACGTATTGTAGGACTTCAAATAAAACGACATTGATTTCTCATAAGAACAATCTTAGTACAATTTTGCTTCGAATAGCCATAGCGCACGGAGCGTTTCTCATGGAGAAAATGGAATGACGTGAATAAATAACTTGCAGAAATATCAATTAAACAATTATGCTGTCCGAATGGAATCGTGTGTAATGATAGTGGGCCGGGCCATAACTCAGGCGCATCTGTTCTACGGCTATTTGCAAAAGGCACGACATGCGCCGCGCTCGCTCGCATGAGACCTGTCTCTGAACTTAGACCGTACTGCGAACTCCATGGCTCTGAATGAAAACATAATTTTACAACAAGTTCAGAAAAATATGTAATTACAAATAATGATCTGTGAGCGCTGCCGTTTGTTGTCTATTAAATGGGTAATTCTATCTAACAAAGTTCTAATTTATAGGGTTTGTAATTCGAGGTGCATATTAATTAATTTATTTGTTTATTTTCATAAGGCACATCAACAGCATGTGTATTCATACATTCGAACAACTTAAAACTAAAGAGATCAAACTCCGATGCACAAGTCAATTACAGATGCACACAACATTTAATTCCTAACACCTAGAGGCTAATTAAACTTATGAATATATGGATATTAAAAGTAGAAAAAAAAATAAGTTAAATCATCATAACAAAGGTAAAGAAGTAAATGAAAACAATTACGCAATTAATCGGGTACGCTCCATGTATTTTAAAATGGCAAATTTGTACTTTGTAAGGGAATAAAAAATATGTTTCGATTTTGGTCAACCATGTACATTATACATTATACATTGTGGTTGGATTGAACAACCGAGTGATGGGCTTCCGGGGTAAGTTATATGGAACCGAAAGTGAAATGCGAAGAAGCATCCATCCTAGCATTTCAAGGTTCCGTTGTTACGTTTGCAACCTAGGGCGATCTTGCAATGAACTGAGCTTAAAAAACCCCAAACAATGGTCATACGGACACCTATGCGAAATATCCCGCGAAAGAAAGGGGACGTGTCTTGTGAAAGCTCGCTGTATATACTCAAAGTGGTAAGAGCGCACCGTACACCCGGGGTTAAATACTACGGAAGCATATTCATATTGATTGCGAACCAGTGTATTAAATAAAATTATTTAGGTTTTGCTACCAAACGAACGCGAAATTTCTTTTGACAAAACCTAACATTTCAGCTGCCTACTTAGTTGATATGTGGTGTGAATTTCAGTTTACTATCAATGATGATACCTAAAGCTTTTTACTTCACATAATTCTTCTAAAAGTTGATCACTGACATTGTATCCCGAGCTGAGTATAGCTGCAGTGATGTAAACAAGAGGTGATATCATTTGTATAGGAAATGACAATTTGCGGTCCCAGATCAGAACCCTGCGGTAGGCTTGATTGTGCAAGATATGCATAGATAAAGTCAAAGCCTTTTATGACGGCTGACTTATATCTTTCCGATAAATATGAACAAAGCCACTCCAATAGACATCCGTTTAAGCCAAAAGCTTCGTGTTTTCGCAAACGTAGACAATGATTAACTTTATGCATATTTGTATATTTCAATTGCGATAATTAGACGGAAGCTACAGTGGATAAATGCACATTTCTTTTTCGCTAACGAATAAAAAAGCCATATTTTATATCAACAGTGATTGAGTGAATGAGTGTTCTTTTAAAAATTAAATATAGGCATCATTAGGTCATAAAATAAGACGCAAATGACAACGTGAGCCTCGGGCTATTCTATATGCGATGGAAACGTAAAGAGCTTGCTATAAATTGCAACAAAACTGCTATTTACCGACTATTTTCTAATTTCAATAATTTTGCGTAATAACGCAATAAATGGGCAACATAATATAATGTGATGTAAATGAATCGTGTGTCGTTATAGACCCGCTGAATACAGGAATGTGGACTCGAGAGCTGAAACTACGTGCTCTAACATCCTAAGAGCAGTTAATCAGTGTTACTCGTACGTTCGATTACGAAGAACCGATTGACTCGAGATGTAGACTAATATCGATTATAACATTTACATCGATAAGCCTTCCTGCTGTGACTCCATATTATAATCTCTGATAATTTCATATGTAAATTCTGAAATGGTACGTTTATGTTTCTTAGAATTTGTGCGCATCGTTCTACTAGTTCGCGGTAAGTTTATTCGTACTACTTATATTATCCATTACAAACGGGTGTTAGTAAATTATGGTAATGCGACTGTATCGACAGTAATTTTAAATTTTTCCACATCAATTACTCAAGTAGGGAGAAATGGAAACCAGGTCTTAAATGTCGTAGAGGTAGGATGCGAATGAGATCGGTGGAATTATTAATATAAGGTTATTCCGCGAGACTTATCGCTTTAAGTGTCAATCTGTGTGTTGGGCACGTTTTTACTATTTATATAAGTCGGCTGTACAGTCGAATGCAATTAAATGCACACATCTAGCAAAATTCAAATTTGAATTTCGAAAGAGTTATTCTATGAGTCATGAAATATTTTGCACAAATAATAGTCCATGTTCTCAAATGTTTCATGAGAAAAATATTATTACAATTGAGTAAAACGATTCTGAAGATTATTTGTATTGTAATTTCGTGACGTGTGTACACATTAATGCAGACGACTATACTTACCGACTTTTAGTGACGTCATTAAGTTTCAGAATCGACTTACCTTTTTCGTAACTGATTTGTCTCTCTTGCTGGCGGGCGTTGTCAGCGGCAACTTTGAGAAGGCCCTGGATATTCCTAAGAAGAGTCTCTGTGGAGGAGACCAAGGTGTCCGCTGTGGGGTCGACGACCTGCACTGGGGGTGGTGTAACATTTTGCTGCGCGTAGCTCACCGGCGCAGGCGACGTTGATGCCGGCAACTCGCGTTCCGTATCACTTAGATCGGCACCTGTAAGGGAGGAGACACTGACTTCATTCCATAAAAAAAATATACTTTATATAAGTGGAGTTTATCCGTCTACACTAAGGTTGCATATATATTTATTTGTTCTTTTAAAAAGATTTTTTTATATAAGTTACAATTAACACATAGGTACTTATTATAACTACACAGGTAGTCACCATCAATATACAAGTTTAAAGGTTTTGTAGAAACGTATAAATAACATACAAAAGTTTTATTATTATTTACATCACATTTATGTTGTGAATCCTATTATATCTTTAATGTTAATAAAATCGACTTGGAGATTTCATCATTTGACTTTCATATCATAATTATTAAAATTTTCCTGTAATCTCAGCTTTTATTGTTTTAGTTGAAACAAACAGTCATTCTTTCGAATATTACATATTTATCAATAAAATATAAGTAGCTGTAGACGTACAGAAGAAGCAGTGTTTGGAATATATTCGGAACTTGGTTGGACAGGGTTTGAACGACATTCATTATGTAGCATGCGTTTGGCAATATGTGAGGTAAAATTACAGGCACATGGGACTTGTCAACTTATGTCTCAGGGTGACAGGCGCAATGGCAGCGCCCCTCAGATGTTTGCAATCTAAAGCTCGGAATGGAACTGCAACTGTTACGGACAGGCGTGACTTGTTCGTCCCATCACTTGGTAATATAAAAAAAGTATGATGTGGTTTAGTATATTCAATATGCCTCAGTTGTTATAATAAATAAGAAAATCTTACTTTCTTATCTCAACTTTAATTTTTTTTAAGTTCTCAAAGACAGATTTTTTCTTTTTATTGAAGAACAAACAGTTTTTTTACAATTCTGCAGAAAAACAATTAACTTATTATACTTGTACTAAAAGGTTAGCATGTATAATGTATAACCAAAGTAACGTTTAGTTAAAAATATAATATATTAAAAAAAAAACACAGAAAAATGTAACAAGTAATTATTCACAATCATAAAAACTCTCTTTTTGTATTATTGATTGTTACTTTTTATTTTTTATTTTTAATGTTAATCAATATTTAGTTAATTACAAAGCGATGAACTTGTTCTTATTTATTTCCAGAGAATCAGATGTTGATGAATCTTAGGACCGATGTGGTGAAGCCTACTCTGTTGATGTTGATGTTGAAATCTCAACTTTGAAAAAGCTCTAGTGTGCTAAAGGTGATGTGATTGCGCTCATGTATCATTCAAATCGAGTTGCAATTATTGCTGGACGAACACCGATATCGCGTGGTGCCTGCTTTGACACACGCCGGCGGAGGCATATTCACATATCCGCCTCGATTTACGTATGGTCTGAGTTTGCTGAAAATAGAGATTAAATTTGATCTATCGAGATTGGGAAATTTGCAATTAAAACTCTAATTATTTAACGAAGCTTAATTCGCATTAGATACTTGATTTATTTTTGTACAGTCACAACGTAATCGTTACAAGTGAAATTATATTCCAGCAATTTTCCGTTCAGAATATGTTTATGAGTACTTTATTATTTAATATAATCTTAGATAATATTAATAGGATATATATTTTAGTATCAGAATAAGGACCCTGAGAAGCCATTCGACACCGAGTGGGCTGTCTCTACCCGATTTATACAGTCCGTTGCACCACACCGCACTTATTCCTTTTGCTGCACTCGCTACAAGTACACATTTAGCATGTAGATTATTCTTTTAGTTAAGTACTTGTTTATTTTTACCTTACAATTGTAAGCCATGTTTTACAAAAAAAAAACTAATTGAGAATTATAAATTTTATCATAGACAATTATTTTAATTGTTCACATAAGAAATACTCACTATGAAAGAAAGTAACGAAAGCATTATGTCTTCATTGTTTCGCGTGACGAGATAATTATGGTAATGTACGTGTTATGTCAATAACGGACCGCACAAGTTCAAAAAAAGTTGTTTCGCTCGGCGTCTCTCACGGTCCAAAATAGTCTATCGATACTTTAATTAACTGACGAGATAGCGAACGCTCATCAAATAATGAAGACAACATCGTTTCGTCATTGTCGATGCGCACGATAGCACTCTCCAGTTGTCACAACACCATCTCCCTAATAACGCCAATTAACAGAAACCTACAAAAATTTAACACACGAATTTAAACGCTATTTAACCGTAAATAAAGGTCTGTTTTAGGGCGATTCAGGACGTCGAAGCGAAAGACGTTATGAAAGTAAACGGAGATCGAGTTCAAAATCAGACGGATGATTGAAAGAAAGAGGTAATATTAAACGGACAAAGATCAAAGTTGAATGACACGGCTACGAAAAAACGCTCTGATAATGAGGCTGTGGTAATCGTGATTGGCGTGAATCACGTATCGGCTAAATCAATCGTTAAATAAATACTCCAATCGTTTCGTAACCAAATTGGAATTTTAATTCAAAGCAAAATCTAAGGTGTCGTATCGGTCTCAACGTTAATTCCATTGTTTGTACAAAATTTCCCGAGGCTCATCCCGTAAAATCGTGGCAGAGTGAGCATTTTCTATAATCGTTGGCAGCCATCCGTTCCCACGCTATCCGACCATTTTGTGTGTAACCTGCAATAACTACAATACACAATCCTTATTGTTTCACTTAATTTAGCTATTGTACGATCCTAACTATTTACATTTGTGTATCAATTGTTTTGATTTGCACGGTCGCGTTATGTACAGCAATGTGAAACATTAGCTTCCTATTCATTTGAAAATTATCATTGGCTGAAGAGAATTTCTATTAAGCTTTAACAGCTTAACTTTAAGGAACTTGAAGATGCTATGAAATGTTTGACTACTACCGTCACTATTTCATTTAATCATTTACTCAATGTATTATAAAACGGGTGTAATTGCATTTGTGAGTTAGTGACGTCGGCCTAATAACTAGTTTACGCTTGATTGATGATCCAGTCGGAGATAGCACTAAATTGATTAAAATATTTATTACGGCAATAGATTCAATGAACAAAAAGCTTGTAGATGAATAGAAACTGTATGTGTCGTTGGAACATTATCATACCATCCATCATTTCAATTTAACAGTCTTTTCATTTGGGATATGTATAGTGACCAATCGGAGACTTTTTTGTTAATCATTGAGTCAACATACATTAAAGTACATACTTAGTAGTTTATTTAGCGACAATTGGGTTGTACCACATACCTCGTATGAGTTTACGTTCCAAAGTCCTATTAGTTGAAATTCTAGACAAGGTAGACAGACTGTATAGTTTAAGGTCAAACAGATTGAGAATTGTGCTATATTAAATTGAGTTAAAAGGACTATTCATACATCATTGCGAGCGATTGCGGACGGTACTAGTAATAAGATTTTATTATATCGGACCATTATAAGTAAACGTGCGGTGTCTAGGGATCAAGATGGGAAAATGTATGGGAACGCAAGCGCATGATCATTTGCTAATCGACCACCACAACTTACACATACTTTATTACTGCAGCCAAACACTACGCAAGTGTTTTTAAGTTTCATCAAGTCTTTTACGATTTGCTTATTAGCATTCAACTTATTCCGCATCTGTTTGATTATAAAATAATTATAAAGAACCTTTTACAATGTATGGTGGCGAGTAGTCATTTTACACTTATTACTATAAGTGTTACCAGTTTCTAAAATAAAAGGAAGGTGGTTTTATGGCTGATAATTTCCGAACTATGAATGCTGAAGGTTAGTGCTATTACTGGGTAATTTCGCTGAGCATTACACGGGATATATTGAACGGGTGATACCACTGCACACCGGCTGTGTTAATGCAACACGGACACTTTCTTGTCATGCGCGGGCGCGCCGTGATTACACCGGGAAGAGACGACTTATTAATATCGTCTTGTAGTTAATGCGAAACTGGATTTAGTTACCTTAGCTTTTAGCAACACTTATCGCTAAAATGGTCGAATGTTTCGATAATAAATTTTATGGTTTTAATTTTATCCTTTTTTGTTATTTGCGAGGTCAAATTCGACTCTAGCTCACAAAGAACAACAATTTGTTCTTTGTGATCATACCATCAATATGGTATGGTAAATTGCAATTAATACATTTGTGAGATATAACAGCTACATGTAGGACTAAATGCAATCAAATGCAGCGTGCTTACCATCATCTTCATCTTTGACATTATGGTCTTCCTGGTCAGAAAGTGCAGCATCACTTTCGTCCGTATGAGACCTGGGGGAAGCTTGTGCTGTGGCGGCAGAGGGTAGTCGCGGGGGCTGCGGGGTGCGACGAGAGGCGACAGAACTGCGTCCGCTGACTGAACCATCGCCCCTCTCCCCGCGGTCCCGTTCGCACCGGTCAGGTCTGTCACGGTCACCAGACCCTGACTTCGAGAGGTTCAAAACTGGACTGTGGCCTGGAGATGAACCTTGTGAAAATAAAAGAATACGTTTTTACTAAATGACAAAGAGGTATGTTCAAAGCTAAGAGTAAGTACTAAGATGTGGGCGTGACGTGTGTCGACGTAAAAGAGCTTCGAGCATTTTTATATTGCACCGACATTGTTTATGAGATTAAAAGGTTTATGAAAATCATTTACCATTATGAGAATCTTCACGAGCTTTATCCATCGCCATCACACGTTCCATGTCTCCCCGTTCATCACGCAACCTGGAACAAAATGGTAGTTAGTGTGCCATGTTAAATTTAAAACTTCTTGTTGGCCTGCAAAAACTACCATGCAAAAAGAACCACATATCAATATCTCGTTAAGAACGTCAAATCTACTGTTTGAAATCAGTCACAGTTCTCCGCGAGACGAATCCAAACAAAGCTACTGACAAACAGTTTTATCATTTGGAACCATAAAGCATGCTTCCCACTGAGTTGAACAGCTACCACAAAAGCAAAGTATAATATTGTAGAACCCCGCTGCGTTTCTTTGTGAACGGATGAAGACGGTATATGTAATAATTTCGTGTACCGCTACCCTAATTCCACAGTCCTTTTTTATTGTGAATTATTAGATTTCTGATGCTTCCGTTTGATTTCTTTTTTATTAATATTTGATTATTCCGTATCTAATTACTTACATTTCTATATCTATTGAAATACATAGATATCGCAGATATTAAGTGGTTATATCTAGTAATTATGCCAAGTACTTACGTACGTACTACGCATAATTAAGGTAATTTAAACCCGTACGAGTTTGCTGATGTTTGGTCTTCACCCAATTAAGTCACTTGTTTTGTACATTTTAGTAGGAAAATATTAAATAGAAGTCGGAAACCAACTCTGCTCAATTCAAAGGGGCTAATGCCACAATTTTTGCTCAGTAATGGCTTTTGAGCATTTGAATATAAATGACGTCTGAAAGTGAAATGTAACATACATAATAAGTGGCTGTTTTAAGCCTTCACGGAACCCTTTTGTGGATTACAGAGTATTGTTTTAGTATAGAGACACCATATAATAAGGAATCAGAGGATATTTTATTATCGCTGCACAGTAGGTTATTGTATTATAATTGAGGCTATCAGCGCAAAAGTGGTATAAGCCCATGCATGTAATGCAACCCACATAGAAGATGAGGGATTGAGAGTAGGGAATTTCAAATTAATCAAATTGATATTATATATAATAATCATATACGTATATGACCAATATACCTCTATAATTATTAGGTAGTTTAGTGTCATTCAAAAAATATTGTAGATTTTTGTATTATAAATTATCGTGATTGATATTATGATGATATATCCTTGATGATTGTGGTTGCAGCTATTCTAAATTAAATAGCACTCTGGTCATCATCTACAATATTCATAGAAAGGAATAAAAAAAAATATGTAGGAAAGTGTGGGTATTTAATGTTGGAATACTATTTTACTGTAGTATATTATACTCCTTAAAACTAGTTTGTGCAATACAAAAACAGGTTTAAAAAACCTCTACAATCTCCATTACTCTACGACAGAACCCCCGAAATGGAGTCGTTTGGTACTTTACCGACGAGTCACGAAGCTCCGTTTGAATTTAATACATTTTTCATTTCCGCTGCTATTAGTATGTTAATAATTCCTTGTACTTCTTCAATCCTTTGATCGTTTTAATACACATTTATGAGAAAACATTTATATGAAAACTTAGCAATCCAAACTATATTTTGAGTAACTAAAATGCTATAAAATACGTGCCGATATAGAAGGAATTCTTTATAAAACACAGAACCAGCATTGAAAAGTGATCTGTTAAAAGATAATTCGTGTCAAACTTTAATACGTTAATGAGGTCTCTAAAGCCGAACGAATGCCGGAGAAATGAACAAATCATGACCACTCGATCGGACAAAAGATAAAGTTCGGATCAATAGGTGAAATAATAAATTATATCCACTTCCTCTGATATATTTTTATCTTTGTAAATGTGTTGTTTTGATTGATGATCCACGAGTAATTTTAATAAAAATATACCTTTGTAGTTTGTTTGATTAAAGGAAAAAGGTGTGGTGATGACATTCCATTTTTTCTTAAATGAAATAAAGAAATATTTTCTGATATAGGAATTCGGTTGTTTCTTAGTATGTACTAGTTGATTGGCGAACTTTTTATGCATAGTTTACTTTTTACAACTTTCGTAAAAGTTTTGTTGTTATAATTTATAGACACGTACCATTCGAGTACTGTTTGGAACAATAACTCCACAAGACAAATTAACAGCCCCCCAACAAACTGTCAGTTACAGCTTTCATCAGTCTGCAGAAATAATATTATTCATTCACTTGTCAAAACGTAAATTGGCGACGAATCACTGCCGAAGCGAGTTAAAACGAAGAAAAATACAAAAACTGACTTTCAATTCACGACGGGCAAATTTTGTTATAGACAACAAAAGAAAAAGAACCATGTTGGAAGTAATAAAGACGTATTTAGGCATTATAGTCAGATGTGCGAATAATCGTTATTTTACTAATATAAGTACTTACTAAAAGTATAGGTTTAGGTTCTGTTAGTTTAGACACGACAGCCTAATGATGTCCATATTATGAGGGTTAACTGAGTTAGCTAACGTTAACGCGAGGCCATTATAGAATGGCCAGTGGCCTAAACAGATATTCCGGGGGCACGCGCTCGGACAATACATTGCAATCTACCGCCGAAGCCAATGTTCGCTGATTAGTTAATGCTGAACTGATCGCTGGCCCCGCACCGTGCTGCCGCCACCCACCCGCCTAGTCCGGTTCGAACCGGTCTTGTATGCATAATCTGATTACCGTAAGTACTAAACAAAGCTTTCGGTAACAGTATGTCATTTACATAACCATATACCGAAACTGCGATGTCGATCGAATCCTTCCAAATGCACAATCCACTTATCTATCTTTTCTGCGACAATGCCTAAATAAACAAAACTAATTCCCTGAAATTTGCATTCACAAGAATCGATTAAGAAAATCAAATCCAGTTGGAACGGCCCTGCGTAAAACATTTGCTTGACACCCAAATCAAAAATCGTTTTAGCTCACCCTCGCGAGGGGAGGTTAGGGAAGCGTCGACGCCTCAACATTTATTATTTCAGACATATCACTCACATGCAAAACAAACTCCGTCCGATCCATCAAAAAGTTTGGTCGCAGCCGCTCCCGCGTCCCGCGCCCATACCTCTGCCACGGGACACAAATCGAGTGTGTAAGTACCGCAGTTTGAGGAAACGCGGTTCTCTGGTTTTGCGAAGAATCCGAATTTAATCGGTACATAATACGCAGTGTGCCGATTAATCGGCAGTTATTCAAACTAACTGAGTACACTAAAAACACAGGAGTTCCGGAATTAAACTGAATGAGTAATTTATAATTATGAATGATAAATGAAAATGAATATGAGTACTAATTTTAATTAGCAAAATAACTATATTTATTTGAAAAACGTTTTAATAAAATAAAGAGCAATATTTTTCATTCACAAAATCGATTTATAACTTAATATAAAGGAAAAGGTAATCGCAAAAGAATAAATAAGCTTGCTCATCCAAAAGAAATGAGCATTGCGACCCCCCCAAACAGTCAACAAAGCTTCGAAGAAAATCGAGCGAAAAAAGGCTAAAAACACCTTAGGGGTTTACTAATCGAATAAAAAATATCAGCGGCCGATGCCAATGTGTGGGGGAGGAATGGAATAAATTATAAAGAAAATACAAGTAGCAAAGGGGCCGTTGTTATGAGTAAAAAGATCCAAACATATGCAGATAACGCAATGTTTTGAAATGATGTACATGCAATATTGCCAAGTAATAACATGAAATATCATTTTGTAGATACAACACATGTTGAACTTACCAGAAGAAAGCGGAGCATGAAATACGAATTAATATATTCTTGTATACTTTGTTTCGGTATTTATGTAGAGCGTACAATATCAATTTAACAAGATAATAATAGATTTGTGTCAAATAAGAAAGAAAGAAAAAGTGCTTGTAAATTCTTACGGATTTACAAAGTCAACGAATTGCAAAAAGAAGTCACGGAATCCACTTTGCGAACACGGAAGGTTGTTATCTAGATTAGTGGTTACCGAATCACTTGTTACAAATACTACCACCCCACTGAATATATTTAGAAAACCTGATGTATAAGCTACTAAAGCTGAAAAAACGGCTGGCGCTAAAAATTCAAGCAATCAAAGAGCAAGAGAGAGGAGAAACACTTAAGGCGCAAGAGGCCGCGGAACGCAGGAATAATAGGAAAGCAGTAACATGATGACTTGTCGCCGGCCGCACCCTTCGCATAAACGTCACAATGTCATTTGTAAAAATTGCGGCTTCCAACTTCTCCACTTTCGGAACATGGAATTTATAGAGTGGACTCGAACACCAAACGAGGTAAAGACAAAAATAAACATGAATTTTATATCTTGTGGAACAAAGCTACAAATCACTATTAACAATAACTTGACCGCGTTATCCTTGCAAGAATGATCCGTATTTTATATTATCGTATAAAAGAAGGGTACAATATTTTGTTACATTTTACATTCCATTCAGTAACTGTTAAGGCTGCTCCATTTAGTTTTTATTCCCTGGCGGAAATGTCTAACCAAAATAACCAAATTCGGGGGCGACAAAAAGAAAGTGGGACCTCCGCGGGGAAACCGGAGACAGTTATTTAAATTTGAATAATATAATATGAAAGAAATTACATCACTTAATACCGTAATAAAAGTGCACTAAGCGACCGGAGCATTACGCCTGCCAAATGCAAGGAGGAACATGCAAATTCCGCTTATGAAACGTGAAATGAAACATAAAATGTGTTTGGTTAAAAATAAAATATGTCTTTCGAAGCTTCGGAGCTCATTACGATATTAGTACGTGAGGAGATTTAAGTTGTCTTCGGAAAGCTGCCAAGATGGACGATTTCGCAGAGAGGCGTTAGAGTTAGCGCAGTTGTGAATTTATAATCATGTTGATTTTGTGATGTCAAATGAAACCTCATGAAATATATGAAAAATACCACATTTTTCTCTTATTTGAGTTAGCTCCATTATTCATAAACTGGAAAATATGATTCCAAAAATTCATTTTCACCGAGATGAAAACACGAATAAAAAATATGGAGGTAACAAAAAATCTAACAAAATAACAAGCTATTTGTTCGCAGCAGATTACAGTAG